CGCCCGTTCAACGTGGCCATGCACCCGCAGAGAAGACAATCATTCAAATAAATCCTGTCGTTCGTGAAAGACGGGGGTCCCTTGAGCATTCCGGGTGCCAGCCAAGACACCCCCCTCAAGGGCCTCGAAGTCCTCCACTGCTCCGCGAATGGGCCTGGAGACCAGGGGGTCCTCAAGGGGGAGGCCTGGGCAAACCATGCGGCATAGTCCCACAGGCTGCGATTACGGGGCAGCCCGGCGGCCCGCACTGCTTGCCGCAGGACTGGCCCGGCGCTGACTAGCAGCAGTGGAAATCGCAGTCTGGGCGGAGGAGCAAAAATTTCGGGCTCGCACCCTCGATTCGTGCTCGTGGCCTCGCCGTCGTCGTCCTCCGCATCTTGCGGTCTGGTGCGAGGCTGTCGCTGAGCCTCGGCCTCACTCAGCACGCAGGCAGGTACTGTCGTCAGGAGGAGGAGCTAGCCGAGGGCGAGAGAACGACATCTGGGTCACTCGAAAGCGAGGCCCTTGCTGGACGGGCTTCGAACTGTAGGGATTTAGCAGTGTGCCTTCATTGCAGCGGGGGCCTGGTCGCGAAAGCGACGAGCACTGAAACCTGGGCCAGCATCTGGCCAGGAACGATCTTGCTCAAACTACGAACCAGCCCCCAACAGGGCTGCCAACAGGGCTGGCGAACACCCAATTCGCGGTCTGCAGAAAAAAACAGCTGTCGTGCAAACTGCTGGAATGCAGCCCACTCATCCAAAACAAACTGCGATCGGAACTCCGACGTTGTTCTTCTCGTTCGCAGCGTGGATCAGCCTGGAGCTCTGGAGGAGCGGCCCTCCATCCCGAGATGTTGCTTGAATGGTTGCTGACGCTCCCGGGCCCGGCAAGACCCCCCCCGAACGCCGAACACGGCCAAAAACGCGCCGCCGCAGACGCCCGAGTGGTCGCACGACGCCAAGGGCGCGGGGACGAGGCCTCCTCCTCCTCCTCCTCCTCCTCCTCCTCCTCCTCCTCCTCCTCCTCCTCCTCCTCCTCCTCCTCCTCCTCCTCCCTACCAGGCGCTCCTCGCCGCGCGAACCCTCCGCAGGCCGCGGCCCGCCTGCCGCCGGAGGGGGGGGAGAGGAGGCCAGCCGCTCGCGCCCTCGGCGAGGTCGTCGGCCCCCGAGCGCGCCCAGGCGGAAGGGGGGAGCGAGGGCGACGGCGGCGACGAGGACGAGAACGGCGTCCCTGCGCTAGGGGAGCCTCCTGATCCCTCCTCCTCTGCCTCCTCCTCTCCTCCTCCTCCTCCTCCTCATTCCTCCTCCTCATTTCCTCCTCCTCCTCCTCCTCCTCCTCCTCCTCCTCTTCGCCCTTCTTTGGGAGGGAAGCGCGGGTTCCGAGCCGTGCTCGCCTGCGCATTTCTCGTGGCATCTGGCTCGTTCTGCAACCGTGCTCGAGTGTCAAGCCACCTCAACACGCACATATGACCTTACACAAAAGACAAAAAAACTAACCCCTTCCGCCTTACCTCCTCGGCCCCTTCCTCCTGGTGGCCTCCCCAGGAGCACTCGGCAAGAGGCGCCGGCGGCAGACGAGGGGCTTGCGGACCCCCCCAGACCTCGCACCAGACACCAACAAAGAGATTCGGGTTGGATAGCAAAGGGGGGGGGGTGAGAATCAGCTCGCGTGGCTGCTTTTCCCAGCGCCTCCCGGCGCCAGAGGCGGCTATTTATCGAGGAGTGGGCCCCTCGGTGAGGCCGAAACCAGCTGCATGCAGCAAAATTCGTACCCCCCCTTTCCCAATCCCCCCCTTTCGTCCGGCCCGGGATATGCGACGAACGCACGCGCTGTGCAGCTTTCCCTTGTCGCTGTTCCCCCCCCCTCGCGAAAGGGGCGGCTGGCGGGGGAGGCCCCCCGCAGGTCCTCGCTGGGGCACGCCTCCTCTTCCTCCGTGAAGTGGGGCACCAGCAGCTCCTACCCAGCCCCAGAGGTGGAGGAGTGGGGGGAGGGGGCGCGGGGGCGGAGGCGAAGGCGGATAAATGGGGGGGAGAAGGGGGGGTTCTTCGACATCGGCGCGCGCATCCCTGAAATGCCGCCTCCGAGAGCGAGAAGACCCCGAAGAAGAGGCGCGCCGCGCTCGGCAACAGGGGGAGGCACTGCACGCACACGACGCGGACCAAAACCTGTGTGACCGAGCCCACTTCCACAGAATCTCTGTCCCGATGATCTATGCGGCAGCCACATACTGCAATGGGCGAAAACAGCTGCAACTGCCATGAAGACGCGTGTAACATGGAAAAAACACCGTGCCCAGGACGAGTGCGCAACGCCAGAAAGGTGGAACATATTCCAGAAACGCGCCGTGGCCCTTATAACCAGCTGAATGCTGACTGCATACTGAAAAGGCGGCCCTCTCCAGGATCAGGAGGAAGATGAACAGGAAGCCAAACGCAAGCAGATACCTCAGGAACTCCCTCGCTGCCAGCTGGACCAGACGAAGGGATAGCCACCGCACCTCCTTCGCGTGGAACGCCTG